TATCAATTTTAGATGAAAATTTTAAAATACTATACATTTCTATATAGAAATGATCTACATTACCCTCTACCCTTAAGCTTGGTTTTAATTATTATTATTATTAATTAAAAGATTATGACTTTCCCCGAGGAAGTAAACAAAAACTAATACCTTCAGTTTATCTTACGATTGACCCAGAAGGTTCAAATGACTCATTATGTAATGGTCAATTAACAATTTTTATCTACCCACAATAGTTGATCAAGACTTCCTCTTTAACTCATATAGTTAACATAATGGCTATGATGGAAAATTCTGTTTTAAATAATATGCTAAAATTGGAAAATAAATTCAAACCAATTTTGGTTTTGCTTGTTGACAGTGGTTCCGACGAGAACCTCAGACACTTCAAAAATATAAAAGAATACTGTAAATTATTTATAGAATTAAATTTGGATTATTTAACTATCAGAATCCATGCACCTAGACAATCTGTCTACAATCCTGTAGAGCATAGCATGTCTACTCTCTCAGAAAAGTTGGCAGATATTGTCCTACCTATTGATCATTTTGGCTTACATCTTGATTCTAATGTCATTATTGAGAATATAGACCTTGCAAAGCAAAATTTTTGTTATGTCAGTGAAAAGCTATGTGATATTTGGTGATAAGACTATATTCATGATAAAGAAGTAATTGTTGAATATGTTAATGAGCAAATTGACAATTTTAATAAAGTTTCAGATATATCTTGGGGCTAGATAGAAAACTATTGCCAAATATGTTAGTACTCTTTGGACATTTGAAAATACAATAATGTCAATTGTTGTTCTATATGGAGAGTTGAAGAAGCAGCCGCTTTGTTAGCTAAGAACAATGGATTTTTGCCACTATCTATCAAAGGCTAAGATGGTTATTTTCTTAATTCCATCCACATACTTCAGTATATAGACAAATTAAAAATTCCAGGCTTCGATCAACATTGTCCCTCAATTTCTTCTGAACTCTATTCAAGATTAGTCTGCCCTACCTGTTATTGGTATTTTCCTACTATAGTCTTTCTTTCTCAGCATAAAAAGTTTAAACACTTTCTTCTTATTCACAAACACAAAAAGTCTATGACTCATGCAGCAACAGATAATTGTATTCCTAGCTCTTTTTCAAATGAAGTAGAAATGTTAGATATTTTTATTCTATATTTTTCTGATGGTAAATAATATAATGTGACGATCATATAAATTCTGTACTGTCAGAATAATATATAAAAATTTGATGTTTGTATTTAATCATTAAAACTTATGAGTTATAAAAGGATATTGTCATGGTGAAGAACAGTATGTGGTGTATCTTGTAAGAGGAATGGATCTAGAATGCTAGAAGAGTAGGTAATTAATTAGGTTAGTAAAAAAAAAAAAAAACTTATAGATATACTTAGCTTAGAAAAAGAGAATATCGAATGTTTGTTGAGTGTTGTGTTCACATAACCACATGATGATCATGATTGGGATCGAAGATTGCATGCATAACGAAAAAATAGCATAATTAATTAATTGAGTAGGAATCAGTATTGTGTTGGAGTACAATAGTAGTTAAGTTGCATAAAATTTGTAAGTAGTTAATTTAAAAGTTAAAATGGCATGCCCCAATTATAATGCAATAAATGTTAGTCAAAAGGGTATTTATAGGCAAAGTGAAAAATAAAGAATTAGTCAGCAATTTATTTTCAAATATACACCATTAGTAATAAAATAAGTAAAGTATATACCTTGGGACTACTCCAAAAGAGTCGTAAGAGAAGTTTCAACGCAGTACTTGCTGAGGGAGCTAGATCATTTAGTAACCTGAATTACTAATTAACTCATGACAATATCAAAACTGCCCTTGAGCAGAAAATAGATATACTAAGTAAATTGAGTTAAAAAAAAAAATTAAACTGCTTACAAAATTTACTTGAATAATACAGTACCATATTGTGCTGCTTACTGTATCTTGGTAAAGTATCCCCTTCTATAGTGTCAAGATATGAATGTTAGCATTTTTTGAAAGTACCTTGTATCATATTATTAGGTTTCATAAGAGATACCTTGCATAGTACTTCACTTCTTACACATTACCTCTGGGGTACTATTCACTTAGAAGCAAGCATTCCGCTATTTATTACTATACTAACTATATATAAGGTTTAAATGCCAAAAATAGTCAACTAAAGTAACCCAAACCACAATTATAGCTGTTTATCTAATAATTTAATTTTATAATACATAAGATATTATTATTAAAGTAATACACAAACAAGATTTTTATGTTATATTGTTTAAGAGTAAAACTTATACGTAAATGTCTCAATCAGCCTCTTTAGTAGCAGATCAATACAGTTTATACGAGTTGCATTGTGCTTATTAATTATATAAACTAAGGGTTATAGCACATATTTAGTAGAGTTTGTGACTACTAAAAATAAAATCGAATTATGTTTTAAATATAAAATTATATATAAAGCTTTGCTAATAATAAAAGTTTACTTGCAAATTTTAAGATTAATTGATTAATAGTCACATTTTGATTGACAACAAATGTCTTTCTATAAACTCTGGCATAGTTTAAAATTCGTCACTAGCTTCAGATTTAAATTCGAACAATATCCTGCTGCATAAATCCTATATTTGATTATCAGCATCAGAGTTAAATTAATACATAGTATTATTTATGCATGTGAACAATTTATTTGACAAAAAGTTCAACTATATAAGATCTATATAACTCAAATATATAATGATAATTCTGGCCATGGCCTTATAATTTTAGCCTGAATTACACCTGATATTTCGGTCAACCCACTCACCTACTCAGAAATCAGCTGTTTCTGAAAGTCTTCTAAGAGGTTGTTAAAGGTAAAGTAGCAGAGGTTTGGTTTAGGTTTGGTTCAGAAATAGGGTTTTTAGTATCTTGGTTAATATTAAGAGGTTCTTGGTTTGTATTGGAGTTAGACATAATTATATCATCATCATCAATTGTTAAGGAATTTGATAGAGTTTGTTTTGTTTCTTTTGGTTCGATTGTATCAAATGCTTTAACTATATTTTTAGTAATAGTTGGGTTGGATTTGGGTTTGAAGAAATTAGTGCTAATTTTAGGAGTTTTAAATTGTACTTTGAATTTTGAAAGTAAAGTTTTCTCTGTTTCTGAATAAAAACATTCTTTATAAGCTTTTCTAATATATGAAATAGATAGTTTATCAAGATATTTAAGAATAAAAAAATAGGTAATTACTTTGGCTAAATAATGGGTATCAACTAGTTTAGATGCAATTTTATCAATTGCTTGTTGAAGATGAAGATTATTGATTTGGTTATTAATAGCAGCTGCTTTTAGATATACATTGAAATATGTATAAAAGTAGTAACTTTTATGACTATAGTCTGAGTCTTCTGCTTTGTCAAGTTTGTTTTCTTTCAAGAATTTTTCTTCAGCTTTATCTGCAAGCTGTCGTAAATATGTAATTGGTGTAGGTTTTTGAAAAGTAGCAGGAA